AAAAAAAAAAAAAAAAAAGATTTGAAATAACCTGTGTCCCTCAATGGATGAATGGATAAAGAAGATGTGGTGTGCATATATACAATGGACTACTACTCAGCAATGAGAAAAGAGGAAATTCTGCCATTTGCAACAGTGGATGGACCTTGAGGACATTATGCTGAGTAATGTAAGTCAGACAAAGACAAATACTTCATGATTCATATCTCTTATATGTGGAACCTAAAAAAGCTGAAATCATAAGCAGCGAGTTAATGATGGTTACCAGGGGTTGCAGGATGGGGGGATGGGAGAGATATGGCTTACAGATACATACTGGAACTAGTAAGTCAGTCAGTCCCAGAGACCTAATACACAGTACAGTGATTACAGACAACAAAAATGTATTATGAGCATTAAACTTGCTCAGTGATCAGATCTGAATTGTTCTCAGCAGTGGAAGAAATGGCAGTTATGTGACCCATGGCGGTATTCCCAAATCTACAATAGCAATTATGTTGTAATGTAAATGTATCAAATCAATACATTGTATACCTTAAACTTACACACAATGTTGTTTGTAGAATATATCTCAATTTTTAAAAAAACTTGGCAGGTTCTGTTACTCTAGTGAAGACTTAATGTCTCTTGGAATGATCAAATGGCATTTCCTTTTGGGAAAGAGCATAAAGATAACGAGGATTTATTTTATTGACAACTTAGAATGCAATGTATTAACCTTCAAAATAGAACTATTTTTCCTAGTTATTTTCCCAGCAAAACTGGGTTTACTCGGGAATAGCAGAGGACTGCAGTGCAGGGCCAACAACCCAGGGCAAAACCATAGACAGGTCAGGAGAATAAGGCAGAGGAGGCCCATTTATAGAGGAAATGGGGGCTGGGAGGGCTGTTGTAAACAGAAAGTCCATTGGGGTAAACTAGGAGTTTAAGTGTAGTGTCTTCTCGTTGGTTGTTGTTGTTGTTGTTGTTGTTGTTTCAGTTCAATGGATTTTATTTAGAGGTGAAAGCTTGAGACAGGGTGACCAAGCTGTTAGCTATTCCAATTACAAAAGAAACATTAGAGACAAGGTGCCAGAAACCCAAGGTTACCCTTGAAGCATTTCAAGGGATTCAATAGTGATTTTAAGTACACAACAAAGGAGAAGACTCAAAGAAAATTAACAAGACCAACTGTTTTTAAAGAGAAGTGATAAATTTCAGTGAATCAGGTCCCAGGTAAAGTCTTAAAAAAAAAATTTACAGTAAACATCTTAAATTCTGGAATGCAAGTAAGTACAGTGACGAGTACATTACATTTACAAAACTGCTCAGACAGTAGGTATTCCAGAGTAAGAATTGAAAATTCTCCACCTTGGGCTGTAACTGTCTCTCATTGGCTGGGCTGTGTCTGTGTCTCATTGGCTGGGCTGTGACTGTCTCTCATTGGCTGGGCTGTGGCAGTCTCTCATTGCTTGGGCTGTAATTGTCTCTCATTGGCTGGGCTGTTGCTGGGGGAGGAGGAAACCTTCCTTCTTCCTGCTGGGATGGTAGAGTGGCAGCTAAGGGAATATCCAGGTGCAAGGTGACTCTCTTCCTGTTGGGTCTGCGGTTGACCGGGAGTGGTAGGGCCGAAGCTCCGCCTGCCTGCCTCCAGACTCCGTTCTCAACCACCTTTGGTTTCAATTACCACAGTATTTTATGTTTAAACTCCTAAAAATTTAAAACAAGACAACCTTGGTTAAATAATGTAGTTTTCCAAAGCTGCACATGCAAATTTCAAGCTCTGTTTTTCTCCTTGAAATACAAAAACAACTTCCTAAAACTAGATGGGAACACTACTACTCTGATGAACTATGATTAGATCTGGGATCAATCACAGTTGGTAACATCCCTTTTTTTCCCCTTTTTAAAAAAATTAACATAATATATTATTTGTCTCAGGGGTACCAGTCTGTGATTCATCAGTCTTACACAATTCACAGCACTCACCATAGCACACACCCTCCCCAATGTCCATCACCCAGCCACCCCATCCCTCCCATCCCCCTCCACTCCAGCAACCCTCAGTTTGTTTCCTGAGATTAAGAGTCTCTTATGGTTTGTCTCCCTCTCTGGTTTCATTTTGTTTCATTTTTCCCTCCCTTCCCCTATGATCCTCTGTCTTGTTTCTCAAATTCCTCATATCAGTGAGATCATATGATACTTGTCTTTCTCTGATTGACTTATTTCGTTCAGCATAATACCCTCCAGTTCCATCCACATCGTTGCAATTGGCAAGATTTCAATTTTTTGATGGCTGCATAATATTCCATTGTGTATATATATATACCACATCTTCTTTATCCATTCATCTATTGATGGACATCTAGGCTCTTTCCATAGTTTGGCTATTGTGGACATTGCTGCTCTAAACATTGGGGTGCACATGTCCCTTCGGATCACAACATTTGTATCTTTGGGGTAAATACCTAGTACTGCAATTGCTGGGTCATACAGTAGCTCTTTTTTAAATTTTTCGAGGAACCTCCATACCATTTTCCAGAGTGGCTGCACCAGCTTGCATTCCCACCAACAGTGTAAGGTGGTCCCTTTCTCCACATCCTCGCCAACATTTGTTGTTTCCTGACTTATTAATTTTAGCCATTCTGTCCAGTGTGAAGTTGTATCTCATTGTGGTTTTGATTTCTATTTCCCTGATTCTGAGTGATGTTGAGCATTTTTTCATGTGTCAGCCATTTGTGCGTCTTCTTTGTAGAAATGTTTGTACGTGTCTTCTCCCCATTTCCTAACTGGATTATTTGTTCTTTGGGTGTTGACTTTGATAAGTTTTTTTTTTTTAAGATTTTTTTATTTATTTCTTTGACAGAGAGACACAGCGAGAGAGGGAACACAAGCAGGGAGAGTGGGAGAGGAGAAGCAGGCCTCCCGCGGAGCAGGGAGCCCCATGTGGGGCTCGATCCCAGGACCCTGGGATCATGACCTGAGCCGAAGACAGACGCCCAACAACTGAGCCACCCAGGCACCCTGATAAGTTCTTTATAGATTTTGGATACTAGCCCTTTATCCGATAAGATATTTGCAAATATCTTCTCCCATAGAATGGTGCATTTTTCTTGTCTTACACCAATTTCTTTTTTTAAAAAAGATTTATCTATTTGAGAAAGAGAGGATGTGTGCACTTTTGTGCAAATTGGGGGAGGGGCAGAGGGAGAGAATCCCAAGCAGATTCCCCACTGGGTGCAGGGCCCAGTGCCCCATGCGGGACTCAATCTCACAATCCTGAGATCATGACCTGAGCCGAAACCAAGAGTCCCACACTTAACGGACTGAGCCAGCCAGGAGCCCCTAGTCTTACACCAATTTCATTCCCAATGTCTCCTGAGAGGCATGTACCATACACAGAGGAGGAATCTATCTTCCTCCTCACTTTCACACTTTGGAAATGAGCATGGACATGTTGCATCTATTCACCGACGGGGAGAAGGCTTGATTAGTATTGAGCTGTAGGCATCTTCTGATTATCCTGATGAATTCACTCATGCTGATGCAACTGGGTACAAGGAACTTGACTTGATCCAGACAGGAAGCTGCTTCTCACCCCAGTATGGTTCTCTCATCACCTGCATGGCATGGGGGGCTGGGCAGAGGTGGGGGGCAGAGGGTCGAGGTGGCTCCCGCTCCCCCAATAGCAGCCCCCCCTTGTGTCGTCTTAGGTGTTTTTCCAACACTGAGTTTAAGTTTTAACAAATTGTTTCAGGAATGAATGTGAAACACGAGAAATGGTTTAATTTGAAAGTCGTCCCCTAATTAATGAAACCTAATTTCATTTCTGTTTAAAAGGGGGAATAAGAGGATTATTTTGAAAGGACAGAATGTGAAATGGTTGGAAAGGAACTACAGCACCGTGTTGGACCCAGGGCCATGTACCACCGGTGGGGAGAGCACACTTTGGGAGCTTCTTTCCTGAAAATCAGTTATAAAAACTCCGCCTTTCCTCTCCCAACAGGAACCTAAGGCTCTACGTTGGGACTCCAGCAGCTGCTACTCGGCCGTAGGGCAGCCCGATGGAAAGTACGTGGCGGACGCTCAGGTGGCCCGCACACGACTGGGCCACTACCACGAGGGAGGGACACCGTCTCGGGGGACCGCCTCCCGGGAGCCCAGGCACCCCCACAGCTGCGCCCCTCGTCAGTCCTCAGCCTCCCTACCCGGGGGGCGCTCTGGACCCTCGCGCGCACACGCCCGCACAGGCCGGAGCATCCCGGCCGGAGGGCCTGTCTTTCCCCGCCGCGAGTTCAAGGAGGAAACCGCCCAGCCGGGCTTCCCGCTGATTGGCTGAACGAGAGAAAGGCCAGAGATGATTGGTCGGGCCGGACGCCTCTCCGCGCGCACGCCGCGGCCGCGCCTTCTCCGCCGCCACTGTCTGGTGGGCGGACGCGATTGGAGCGGACGCGTCAGCTCGCCCCGCCCCGCCCCGCCCCCGCCGGAGGGCGCGACGTCACTACCCGGCGTGCTGCGCGCGGCGCTTCCCCCACCCGCTAATGTTTTGGCCGATTCAAGATGGCGGTGCAGGAGTCAGCTGCTCAGCTCTCCATGACCCTGAAGGTGCAGGAGTACCCGACCCTCAAGGTGGGGTCTGAGGGCCGGGCGAGCGGCCGCGCTTGGCTGGTGCCCGCGGACCGCGGGGGGTCGGAGGGGAGGGAGGAGGGTCAGGGTGGGGGCCGGGGCGCGGCCTGGGGCACCGGGCGGGGTCTGGGGGCTTCTGCGGGGCCGGGCTTCCGGGGTCTGGGGGCTCCGCGGAGCCAGGCTCCCGGGTTTCCCGGGGTCTGGGGGTCGGCAGGGCCGCGCTCCCCAAGATCCGAGGGTCTGCAGGGCCTTGTTCTCCAAGGTCTGGGGGTCTGAAGGGCCGGCCTCCCTGGAGTCTGGGGGGGCCTGTGAGGCCGGTCCCCCGGGCTTCCCGGCGGCGGCGGGTCTGGGAGGCCGGGCTTTCCGGGATCTGGGGTCCTTCGGGCCGGGCGGGTGTGGCGTGGGGCCGCCCATTGCCTGCCCGGCCTTCGAGGACTTCGTGGCAGGGCGTGGAGCGCGTCTGTCTGGCGCCCCGCTTCGCCCTCCAGAGCCCGATTGTGGCCCCTTCGTCCTAAAAAAAAAAAAAAGAAAGAAAGAAAGAAAGGAACAAAAAAAAAGGTGAACTGCCCCAGTGACATTTTGCGGTAGGCAGGCTGGTGACTTGGGGGCTGGGATGGAGACCGGGGTTTCCAGGGTGTGGGGTCGCGGGCGCCCAGCAGGAGTGCCCGACGGTTGGTGTCCAGCTGTCCTCCCGGAAGCCTAACGTCAGAAGGTGTTGATGTGTTGCCTTCCAGTCTCTAATTAGGGAACCTGTAAAGAGAGACCTAACGACCTAATGGGCACCCATCTTGTGGGGCGTCACCAAACCTGAAATACAGCCTTTGCCACTCGGTTGCCAGTTGCGTGACCTTGGATGGCCACTTAGCCAAGTCGCCTTCCGTGAGCATGAAGTCCGTGTCTCTAGTGGGAGGGGCCGCACTTGCTCTTTACCTAGTTAGCAGAGGATTTGATGATGACGAGAACAAAGCACCTGGAAACAAGTTCCGTAGGCGATCAAGGTCATAATGTTCCCAGGAGAACCGTGGCTGGGCATTTGTGATTCTGAACTCCTTCCCTGAGAGGCCAGGTAGCTTTTCTCTCCTCCTGGAAGACCCCTGCATCCCCATCCACCTCAGTGGCGACAGGGGGTGGTGGGTGCAGCGTGGTGGGTTCGAATACCGCACCACTTTGTTCATCACTGACAGGGAGACCTCAGGCAGGGTACTTACCTGCTCTGAGATTGCTGACTTCTGTCACACGTGGGTAATGATAGCTCCAGGGCCACCCCAGGTGAATCGGGGGACTCCGTGCTGCCTGGAGTAGTCACTACTCGAGTCAGACTGCCCTGGGCAGTCCTCGCCCGAAAGCAGAAGCGAGGTTTTGTTGCTTTTCATTGACTAGCGGTGGAGCAGTGCCGTTTCTCTGTACCTTGTTTGATCAGGGAGGATAGGGGAGCGCTGCCACTCGTACCAGATGCCTGTTGTCCAGGCCCTTTTAGGATTAGGTGGTGGGTGTTTTTGTATTCAACTCCTTGCAGACCCTGTGGCTCAGAGAAACCATGACATCACCCCACCTGAGGCCCCCAACGAAACATCATTTGGGTTGATGTTTATCCCTCCTTCCCCCACCAAACAAACAAATAAATAAATGAGGCTTTCGTGGGGGAGCCGTTAATTGCTGGGCTGTTGTCTCACTCAGCCTACCCCCAGGTCTGACGTTGGAACTGACAGAACTGTGGCAGTTTATCATGTTTGGGACTGGCTGGTGAGTGTGGGCAACAGCAGACAGGAAGGGATTTCCCCTCCAGGTTCTCTTCTGTCGTTTTATAATCCTGACCGTGATTGATTTCCAGACTTATTAAATAGCCTTTGATTAAAAACAATCCTGCAGATAGTTATACAGGTAAAGAGATATTACAGTGTCATTTCAAGTGAGCTTGCCCGGTTAAAAGGAGTTTTACTTTTGCTTTAGAATGATTTAAGTGAATTTTTGAAATCAGAGAAGTTACTTCCACCATTTTCCCTCACAGATTGTCTGGATCACCTGTAATCCATCAACATGTGTCATTGTTGAGAGTTGACGTTTTTTTCTACATGTTTTTAGGAGTGATTCCTACTGGATAATGCGGAAATTTCACTGGGAAACTAGGGACCCTTGACTTAGAAGCATAAGTTAATACAGAATTAATACAGAATACTTAGGAGCTGTGCTGGTCACGGTCTTGAGCACGGTCCAGATGCAGGTGCCTCAGGGCGGCAGGGGCACTGTGCAGACAGCAGGGAGAGGGGAGTGAGGGTCGGGGGGCTGGAGTTCTGAAAGGTGTATGCAGGGTACCAGGAGCCGAGTGCTCCTTGCTTTCTTGACAGGCAGTTCCTCCTCGGACTCAATGGAGGTTCCTTGCTATTCAGAGGATTGGCAAACCCGGCCAGGTTCCTCATAGCCCCAGGGCTGGTGGGGGGCTCCTGGGTACCTGGTGGGCACTGGTCTTGCCTCCTGGTACAGTGGGAAGAGAATGGCATGGTCGTGACATATGCAGCCGCATGCGTTGAGCTGGACACCCTCTCTTCACTGAGCCCTCAGTCCTGGGGGGAGCTGGGCCAGCACAGGCCTCTCAATGGCCTGTGGACCTTCAGGCTGGGTGGTTCTTTGTAGTGGGGGCTGTGCATTATAGGATGTTTAGCGGTACCCCTGGCTTCTGTCCACCCCCAAAATGTCTCCAGACATTGCTAGATGTCCCCTGGGGGGCAGAATCGCCCTGGTGAGAACCACTGGAGTGGATTTTGCTTTGTGGAACTTGTTTTTATGTTCTTAAAACAGCAGGGAGTATGGGGTTCGTGGGACACACTTTTGTGTTCTGGGCCTGGCTGTGAGTCTACCTGTGAGCTCCTTGAACTGGAGGCCCTGTTTTAATTATGCTTTTAAAAGTATTCTCTTGGGGGCACCTGGCTGGCTCAGTTGGTGAAGCGTCTGCCTTCGGCTCAGGTCATGAACTCAGGGTCCTGGGATCGAGTTCTGCATCAGGCTCCTTGCTCAGCAGGGAGTCTGCTTCTCGCTCTTCTGCTGCCCCTGCTCGTGTTCACTCTCTCTCAAATAAATAAATAAAATCTTAAAAAAAAAAAAGTGTTCTCTTATAAAAGTAACTTATGTTTACTTTCCAAATTATTCTGCTAATCATCCTGTTAATATTTTGGTATATTGACTTCTGTTTTTTCCCCTCAGAAAACTGAAGTAAAGTAATATTTTAGAGACCTTCTTTACCATTACCCAAATCAGGTGGGGGTCTTCACAGCCCAGGAGAAAGGGTCTGGCATTGGTCCCTGGGAGCCCTGGCTCTGGACCCCCTGACTCCTCACCTTGAGTCTCACCTGTGCCTCTCTTGGTGCTCACCTGGGGCCTCTTCTTGGTCCTCCCAGCCTGACCCAGCTCAGTCCCCCATCCCAGCTGCCCTCTCTTCTTCACGCATGACAGGCTGGGGGGGTGGCGCATGGGGCATTGCTCCCAGCTGGGTCTGTGGGCGTATTCTTTTGTGTCTCTGAATTCTCTATAGGACTGTTGAAATGTTCTGCTTTTAATTTGGTGACAGTCTTGTTGACCAAATACTGGTCTGCAATTTCTAAGCCTGGGTTTGTGCCTGTTATAGAAAGTCTGGGTGCCAATTATATGCCTAAAGTTATAACTTTTCCAGCTTGGTCTTGGCTGGATTTAGGGGATCTTGTGTTCTCAAGTTTGAGAAACAGTGGTAAGCGTGAGTGTTTGGCCTTAAGAGACAAAATCCTAAGTATGCTGAGTCCGGGAGGGTGGCGGTAGGCGAGGTCCTCACTTTTTTTTACTTTAGATTTTTTGGTTTACAGAGTGAGCCGTTTCTTCTCTCAGAGGTGGTTGTATCACTTGAAGGACGCCGACTCTCTCTCTGGCTTGGGGCAGGCATCTATGTGTGATGCCCTTCCTCTTCTCAGGCTCCAACCTTGTCAGACCTCCAGAGCACTGTCTGCGCTTACCCGAAAGAGCCTCGGACTGCCTTTGCCTTCCAGAATCCTGCCAGAGCTAGAGCACGGTTGAAGTGCTTTCTTCTTACCCTTTGCATCCTCCTGAGCTGCTCCTCTTGTCTCTCACGCCACTGCTCGGATACTTGGCCACAGACGAGAACGCTGGGGTGGTATGGGCCTCCGGGGACAGGTGCGGGTCCACGTCAGGGTGGGTGCCCTGCTAGCTGCAGGCCGTTCGTGTTATTTTAAACAAGCTTCATGCCAGGAAATGGGGCTTCCCAGTTTCCCGTTCTCTGTAGCGGTGGGGTGTGCTAGAGCCAATTCAAACCCCAGCCCCAGGCAAGCAGCTTCAGCAGTGGGCAGGGGCAGCTGTGCAACAGACGCTTAGTATTGGGTCTCAAGGTGGGGCTTGCTGTTGCTTCTCCCTCACGGAGCCACCGCGAGGCACCCCAGAGCCGAGGTGCCAGACCCTGAAGGCCTCCTGCTCCTTGCTGCTCTTGAAGAACCTCTGCACGCTCGGTGGGCACTGCCGGTGACGCTGGTGTGTCACAGAGAAAAAGACAAGTGAGGTCCCTGTCCTGTTGCCACTAGGTTTGGCAGGAGGGAGGCCGTTAAACAAGTGGATGCAAAACATTTCCGATCCTTGAACGAGTAGAGTCAGGCACGCGGGGGGCATGGCCCACAGGGGGTGCGATGGTCTTCGGTGGGCAGCCAGGGCACTTGCACGTTGGGGGAAAGCTCTGTGGGCTGTGTTGAAGTCTTGGCAGACCCTAGCACCGTTGGCACACAGTCCCACGGGAGCGGTAGGGCTCAGGGTGTTCCCAGAGCCACACAGAGGCCATGACGGTGGGCCCCTGAGGGCTTGGACCTCGCCATGGACCGTGTGTGCAGGCCAGCAGGAGTGGAGAGCAAGCTGGGAGGAGGCCGGCTGCTGTGTGTGGCATGTGCCCCCCAGTGGGGCCGCTCGGTGCGGACCGAAACACGGCAGAGCACGGTCTGCCAGGGGCGCCTGTTGGTCTTTTCAGGAGTACGTTGTTT